GGGTTGTGTTAGAACTTAGAATCATGGGATTGTTGAGGGAAATATTGAAATCCCATTAGATTTCTTGGTATTCTATATGAGCGCAAATGGAGTTGATTGCTCATAAAATAGTTGGGAAATATCTGGTTAAAATGTGGAATCTGTTTCCTATTGATTTTGTCTGGGGATTGGAATGTGTGTGTCTAATCAATGATGTTTTTAGGTTACTGCATCAACAAACAAGGAAATAGATGGCCATATACCTAATTATCCTGGCTTACCACCACAGCTCATCTGTCAGCTTCACAATGTTACTATGCATGTAAGTTTCTGCTCTCTCTCTCTCTCTGGGGCTGGTTCTATGAAAAATTATTTGGCATAAATGACTGAATTTGCCAAAAAATATTTTGAAAGGACAACCATTTTGTCTGGTAACATTTATTTCACCCAAATGAGCAAGTCAGAAGTTACCATTCTGCCAATTCTGAAAAGCAGAATAAGCTTGAATTACATGCCAACAGAGCCTAAATTTGATAAATAATTAAAAAAAAAGAAAAAAGAGAAGGACGGTCTGGAGTTTCTCCTCTAGTACACACATTTTAAATGTTGGTGATGGTAATTTCCAGGCAGACAATGAGACTGATGAAGTATATGCGCAGATGACACTGCAGCCCCTAAGTCCGGTATGGTTCTTTCACTTTTAGTTATGATTTTAATTTAAGGAAAGTCGACCCCTTTGCCTTAGACCTTCTTGTATTGATGCATTCAAATCTGTGCAGCAAGAGCAAAAGGATGTCTGCCTGCTTCCTGCAGAACTTGGCATGACAAGTAAACAACCCACAAACTATTTCTGCAAAACCTTAACTGCAAGTGACACTAGCACTCACGGAGGATTCTCTGTGCCACGGAGAGCTGCTGAAAAAGTTTTTCCTCCGCTTGTACGACCCATTTATTCAGATTTTAGTTCGTTGCAAAGTACCCGAGTATTATCTAATCTGATTTGTGTGCCACCAAACTTATTGTATCATCATGAAAATTTCTTCTGTTCTTCAGGATTATTCCCAACAACCTCCTGCACAAGAATTGATTGCTAAAGATCTCCATGGGAATGAATGGAAGTTCAGGCATGTCTTTCGTGGTAGGTTTACTCAACTACCGTAATTTTCCTAGTCTGGTTGAGACATTTATTTGTAAAAGGGAGAGAAAAACACTTTTGGGATGTGGCCAAACATTGCCCCATCTTTAGAAAACAAGTGCATGTATTTTCAAAATCTGACAAAAGGTTTTGAGTTGAGGAAATATGAGTTGTTGAGTGCATTAAGAACACATATCTGTTAGCTGATGTCTATTTTATTTCCCTTTTTAAATTATAACTAGTTTATATTTATAAATGAAGACTGATGACTGGAAATTGCTTTGGGGACAGAGGCAGTACAACCTTGTGACTAACATATGAATTCTTAAAGAGGAAGCCCTTCTTAAACATGACCGATGTGATTTCTTTTATATAGGACAACCGAAGAGGCATCTCCTGACAACAGGATGGAGTGTGTTTGTAAGTGCAAAGAGACTCATAGCAGGTGATGCTGTCATCTTTATCTGGTAGGGATTTGCCATTCACGTCAGCTTGAGATGTTCACCTCCATCCTCCCCTCCATCCTCTACTTATTTGACCATCACATATTACTTTACAAGTTAAAACTATTTTCTGTTGGTTAGGAATGAACACAATCAGTTGCTCTTGGGAATTCGGCGTGCTACTCGCCCACAAACTGTCATGCCTTCCTCTGTTTTGTCCAGTGATAGCATGCATATTGGTCTTCTTGCAGCAGCTGCTCATGCAGCTGCTACAAGCAGCCGCTTCACTATATTTTACAATCCAAGGTAAAGTCTTTTCATGTGGATACCCCCCCCCCCCCCAAAGGATTCTGAATTACTCAAAACATCCTTAAAATTGCATTGATCGGTGCTTATAGAATTTAATTTAAGCGATGCTATGATTTTTGGCTTAATGGGTGCTTGTAGAATTCAAATTCATTATTGTTGATCTATTCTGGCCATTCAGGGCTAGTCCCTCAGACTTTGTCATACCTCTGGCCAAATATGCTAAAGCTGTTTATCATACACGAGTCTCTGTTGGTATGCGGTTCAGAATGCTCTTTGAGACAGAGGAATCAAGTGTTCGCAGGTTGGTGTTTAATTTTTAGTATGAAGATTAACATGTACACATGATAACATGTTTAACTTGAACTTGGAACATATGCCACTATATTGAATGAATTCAACAAATAGTAACTATTGATTCATTTAATGTGAGTGGTCTGATTTTATTGATTTTTCAAAGAGTAGACGTGACAAATTCTTGAGCATTTAATCCTTCGTGAAATTCACTGATATCCTTTCCTCACCCACAAGAAAATAATGTACTCCAAGCATTTTGTGTACATCACCTTACTGAAGTGTGTTTGGCTTCAGGTATATGGGTACAATAACAGGAATTAGTGATTTAGATCCTGCTCGCTGGCCAACTTCACATTGGCGGTCTGTCAAGGTTAGTGCATTTAGAAGTATGGAGTAACATTTTATTACATATAATTATTGTGAGGATTAGTTCTATGCATACACAGTTCATGGCTTCATGCAAAGAAATGTCTTTGCTTATGCAACAACATACCCTGCAAAATTCCACAACGTGGGGTCAGGAAGGTTGGTGTAGGCAGACCCCTACCTAGAAAGTTGTTCTCGTTGTTTGCGTATATAATGTTATTTTTAGAGTAACATGATGTATAACTTACAGTTAGTGAACTAGGAGGGCTTTCTTTCACAGTTTTCTTGGTTTCATAGGTTGGATGGGATGAATCAACTGCAGGGGAGAGGCAGCCTAGGGTTTCTTTGTGGGAAATTGAGCCGCTCACTACTTTTCCAATGTATCCAAGTCCTTTCTCCCTTAGGCTAAAGCGGCCATGGCCGGCAGGGCTACCTTCTTTCCCAGGTACGTTTAATTTATGCTATTTCATTTGTAGCTTTCTTGTCGAGTATCTCTCATCCGTTGCCCCAATTTAACCGGTCTTTACTTCTATCCTCTTACTGTTCTCCGTGAAAACAGGTCTAAACAATAGTGATATGCACATCAGTTCTCAACTTTCATGGCTGCGCGGCAACATGGCTGATCCGGGGATTCAATCATTAAATTTTCAGGGATATGGTATGACACCCCCCTTCATGCAACCAAGATTCGATGCTTCCATGCTTGGCTTACAACCTGAGATTTACCAAGCAATGGCAACACTCGATCCTTCTAAGCTTGCAAATCAGCATTCATTTATGCAGTTCCAGCCGAGCATCCCAAATGCTTCCTCATCGCTTATTCAGAGTCAAATGTTGCAGCAGCAGCAACAAAATTTGCTTCAGGGGTTTCAGGAGAACCAGCAGCAGCAGCAGCAAGCGATATCTCAAGCTCAGATTCTACAGCAGCAATTGCAGCGTAAGCAGTCTTTCAATGAACAGCAGCAACAGATGCAACAGTACCAACAAGACCAACAACAGCAAAAACTACAACAAATGTCAAAGTCTAGTCTCACTAGGATGAAATCTCAGCCCCAACAGTTTTCACATTTCCAGGCCTCAAGTCCTGCGGATGTTCCTCAACACCAACAACCCTTTTCAGATCTATTAATTGGAAACAAAGTTTTGATTGCCAATAACAACTCTTCTTTCACCCAGAGGTCGTTTTCTCATGAAGAAGCTTCACAACTCCTCAACGTTCATGAAACCAATCCTTTAGCCACTCAACCCTCTAACAAGAGAATTGCTCTTGACTCTCAGTTTTCGTGCCGAGGTAATAGTCCATATGTAGTTTCACCTAATAACACTAAGGTTTCTGACCATCACACTTTTCTGCCACCCTTCCCCGGGAAAGACTATCCCGAGTACAATGCTCTCCTAGGGGTGAACGCAGACTCGTCAGTTTTACTGCAGAATGGGGTTTCGACCCTCAAACAGAGTGGTGGTGGTGGTGGTGGTGAGAATGGGTTGTTGAACATGCCATTCTCTAGTTGTGATTTTACTAGTGGTGTTGGCACTGATTATCCCCTAAACACGGTGGATATGGCGACTTCTAGTAGCTGTATGGATGAATCGGGTTTCATGCAGTCCTCGGAAAACGTGGAGCAAACAAACCCACCACCTAACAGAACCTTTGTGAAGGTGAGCTCGATATATGCCGTCTTGAGATCGCTTTCATTAGTATTATTGATATTGTGTTTAAGTAATGCTAGATGAATAAACACGCACTTGTTGTGACAGGTTCATAAATCAGGGTCCTACGGGCGCTCACTTGACATCACAAAATTTAGCAGCTACCATGAGCTGAGGAGTGAGCTGGCTCGTATGTTTGGGCTTGAGGGCCTTTTGGAGGACCCTGAAAGATCAGGCTGGCAGCTTGTATTCGTTGACCGAGAGAATGACGTTCTTCTCCTCGGCGATGACCCTTGGCAGTAAGCACCCTTGACCCACTTTTTTTTCTTTTTGTGAATGCTGAACTAAATAATATCATGCTGGATTTTCTGAAATTAAATCCAGTTCATTGCCCGTTTAGATGGAGATTATTTAGACCACTGTAATTTATTTGTCCCGACTTGCTAGTTCGGCTTAGAATAGAACACAGTATGGTCATTTTTCTGTTGGAACGCCACCCTGATATTTTTTTCTTATAATGTATAACAAACTATATTAAGATTCGTTCAAAGATAATTCAGCTACAATAATGTCAACAGCTTTAACACTATGTTTGGTTCAAGGAATTTGAATGGGAAAAGAAAAATAAAAACACATGGAAATTTGGGTAGCGAGGAAAAGACAAGTGGAAGGAAAATACTCAAAATGAAAATAGAAAATAAACTAAGAAGAGGGAAAACAAGTTTCCTTCCATTTTAGCGAGGAAAAAGGAGAGAAACCATTTCTTTTTTCTTTCCTTCCGAATTCCATGAGCCAAACATGGCCTAAGTGTATCTTCCCGAATAGTTACAAGGTCCCCCAAGCGTTTATTATTTATTTTTTCACTAATTAAACCTGCTGTTCTTCTACCAGGGAGTTTGTGAACAATGTTTGGTATATAAAGATACTGTCTCCATTCGAGGTGCACCAGATGGGGAAGGAAGATGGCCTTCATCTTCTTCCCAACAATCTCCAAAGGTTCCCGAATGGCGATGACAGCAGCTGTGAAGACCATTTGAGTCAGAAAGCGGCAACTAGAAACATGAATGGAATACCATTGGGGTCTCTTGACTACTAATGATGATAACCAAATGGTTGATTCATTTAGCAATCCTTCCCCGGCGTCAAGTGTACCATATAGTACCAACTGTTGTATCTCTCTCTCCTCCCCAGGTAACCCAACCAATCAGATTGTAAATTATTGCTGTAATTTGTTTAATTCGCATCGAGTTTGCGCCCTTGAAGTTATGAACTCTACGAGTAATCCCTCCTCTATCGAGTATTATTATTATTGTTAGGATTATTGAGTTATTACTATTGCTATTATTGGCAGTTCACCACTTATTCAGTACTAGTAAAGCTCATTTTACCACCACTTTTTTTAGTTGAGTTTACTGCCTTATATTTTACCATTTCACCAATATTTTAACCACCAACTAAACGTGGTAAACATGTTAACCTGCTTAAGTTATCCTACAACCCAAAGTCCAAAATGCCCTCTTGATGTTTTGTTATGCTCCAAAATGGTTCATCTAGTAGGGAATCTGTGAATATATTGAGATTTGTAAAACTTAATTTTTTTGTGACCGACTATTATGACTACTCACTCCTCTGGTATGTCAAAAAATTAATGAATATAGACATGATGTATGTTGGTATTCATTCAACCTCGGATGTATCACAAATCCTGGAACTCTTGCCTAATTTTGGGGGAAATAGGGAGCCTAATTTTTTTTAAGACCATCTTTAAGTTCAATGATTGGGTTGTTGTTTTTTGGATTTACATGGAAATTGATTTTTATTCAGGACTTTTTTATTTTTCTTTAGAAGTCGCCATCTTGGGTCCCATTGTCAAACTGCCCTTAAAAAAAAGAAGCACGTGCTAACCATGTGCCCTGTGATGGGTGACTGACTTAATCTACCGTACCAAAAGAGCCCCCCCCCCCACCCCACCCCACTCTCTCTCTATCTAGCATTAAAAAAGAATATTTTCCATGTTAATATTCATCAAACAGTTTTTACTTTAAAACACATTTTTTAAAATTTTGTGAAATTAAACCGTAAATTTAATGTGAGGACGGAAGCAGTACCAAGTTGTTTGGAGGGGGGCCTTTGGGATTAAACGTAGATAGTTTTCAGTGTCAGTTATTTTGTGGGCACATTTCTTGTTCTCAAACCTTTTTATTTTTGTTTTTAAATATTTTTTTTTTAGCTTATTCTACTTTTTATATAAATTAAATTGAAAACAGGCCCAATCAACAATTATTCTGCGTGTGGGCAAATCAATGGAGGGAGTATTTTAGGCATCTAGATTCAAATCAATGTTATCATCCTATGACACCATGTAATTCAATATCGTACGAAGTATTTTTTCCATTCCATAGTAATTGTCTATTAAAGATTGTAAGATATACTCATCCGTCATAATTTTTATTACAATTTGGGAATCTTGAGGCAGAATCGTACGACTTTTAAAACTATTTTATTTACAAATTACTATATCGATAAAAAAATAAAAATTATAAAATGTGATAAAATATTTTATTTCATCAGATAATCAATGAAAACATATATACAAATAAAACAAATGTTATTGAGAATTAGAAAAAAAATTGTAACCAAAACTGAGGCGGAAGTAGTATCAGATTTTGATTAAGTGCAGAATTAAGTATGCCTATATTTATTTAAAATCTAATGTTCTAATAAATCTTGATAGATGTTTATTGTAAAATAGAGAGAGTAATATACTATTATTCTATATGATGCCCCCAAGGCCCCAATCACTCACACCATCTTTAATTAATCAACCAATTAATTTAGGGAGTAGTTCTAATTAATTAATTAATTAATTAATGCCTCTAACCTTAGCTCATCACATCAAACCTCGGACCGATCACGTGATTATTGAATGACTTGTTCAACTACTGTATCAGTCCCAAATCCGAATTGGGTCGGTAGTGGATATATATACGCAAGTGGTGTTGGGTAAATCCAATTAAGGTTTTTTCACATTTGGGCATTGATTTGAACAGCTAACCAACCAATCCCTCTCGTGGGTTGTTCTCATACCCACAAATGTTGTTTATTGAAAGCTTGTTTATTCATTTCATTGATACTCAACTTGGGTGTACAAAATCAGAAATTTATTTAAATAATACTATTTAAAGTGATTTTTCTAATGTAGTATCCAGTGGCGGAGCTAGGAGCTCACTGGCGGGGGGCACATTATCGGACAATCTTGGGGCAATGCTCTCGGATTTTTTAAAAAATCGATATGAAATGATGAAAAAAATTGAAAAATTATTAGAGATATAATAATAAATTGACATTAAAAAAATTGACATTATTTATTATTATACAAAATTTTATATCTTTTTAAAAACAATTTTTTTATCAAATTAAATAACTCACATTACCCATGACAATAGTTTCAAATATAAGATCATTAATTGAACACAAACTCAAAGAATTGTATATGGAGTAAATAATAATATCTCAAAATTGTAAAAACTCCATACTCCGTATTATAAATTATAAATTATAAATTACCACAATTATTTATCCCTTCGAAATAACAACAAATTAAAGATGAAAGGTCATAATTATTAAACAATTAAAGTAAAAAAAACATGTACAAAACTATGGCGCGTGGTGAGATTGACTCCGATGGACAATGAACTCTGGATTGGATTTGGGCCTTTTAAGATTTAGCAAGAAGCAAAGAAGCGAAAAACATGCGCGGGAGTTCAGCAATTTTTTTCTATAAACCCTAACATTCCTACGACGTCGTTTAGAACTTCATCCTTATTAAAGTAAAATGCAGAATGACACCGTTTGACGAAGAGGAAAATAACACTCCACTGCCTCCACAGCTGCTGCACCAAGCGCGGGGGCACCTTCGTTCCTCCATAGCTGGTCTACTTTCCGATTGCCGACGCCAGTCCATAGCAACTCATCGCCGGAGCCTCGCCGGGGGGGCACGTGCCCCGGCATGCCCCTCTCCTCCGCCCCTGATAGTATCATATACTTTTATTTCCCAATGTAGTATATTGTTCAATGTCTACTGGTCATTGTTCAAGTAAATATCCACCGCCACCTGATATTGTTCAAACTAAATATTCACCATCACAGAATATTGTTCCCACCACTAGATATTATTCAATTACTATCTAGGGAATAAAAAGATTTAAGTACTATATTGGAAAATGACATATGTTTTAATACTATTTAGTACAAATTTCACGTATAAAATCTAGATTTTGACCGGAAAACCGAATCAAATAAAAAAACCAGTTCTGAACTAGACCGCTAAAAATCTAGATTTTTCCCTAGTCATAGAATTGATGCCCGATATATTTCATTACGAATAAAAATTTAGATTTGTATACTCCACCCCCCGCCCCACAATGAATTACACTCTTTACTATTCAAAAATCACAAATTTTTTTTATTTATATATTTTCCTTGATTATTTGATAAAATAAAAAAAATCACATTTTGTTTTCTAAAACTTTTGATATGTTTTTTAAATATGCAAGCTTTATTTTTATTTCTATACCAATCTTTAAATAGATTGAATTGAAAAAATTTGAGTTTTTTTTATTTTGCGTAAATTATAGGGAGTAATTCATTTAGGAACGAAGACTACAAAAAACTTCAAGTACTCCATATGATATTTGAGCTAATATTTTTAGATACTATAATATGTAAATTATTTTGATTAGATAGAAATATATTAAAGTGTAACTTCATCAATATTTTTGAAACTGACAAACTAAAGAAACTACAAAATTTATTTTAAACGTATCATATTGTTGATTAAGTATTTATATGTTGATTTTATTTCTTGAAAGACAATCAACGAATAGAAAAAAATAAAATTAAGGTTGAATCAAGCTAGGTCGTTATAAAACGAGTTGAAATTTTTTGAGGCAGTCCTACCTTTTACTCGATTCTGATTTTGCGCTTTTTCCCGTTCCAGTCTAGAGTGTTCAACCCTATACTCAACCCAACAATCCATTCGCCACTTTTGTGTGTTCTATTTGATGGCGTAAATTAGTCCACCCAAGCAGAAAGCTCTAAGCCGGGTTTAAGGTAATCTGTTGGTTAAGATGTTAAAGAGAACCCTTGACTCGAGTTTGAGCGGGAAGACTGTGGGTGGTTACACCCGTAGTCTAATTATTACTCCGTATCAAATAATGAGAGTATTATGGGCTAGAGTTATTACAAGGCGCTTCTCGGGAGAAGAAATCGGGATACCCTCCAATGAGGGTTTACAAGTATATTTATGGTGGAATCTGAGAGACAAGGCCATGTGCGCCATGCCTCGCCACATGTTAGGCTCCTCGTGTATTCTTGCGTTGATGGTTTCTTGCCTTGTAGCACTCCCCTCTTGGTGCGTAGTACCATGGAGATGTCAGTGGTTCTAATCGTTGGTGCATGAAACCTAGTCTGAGTTGGTCACTTCTTGCCTAATTAGGCATGACCTGTCATTAGCCATCTGCACGAGTAATTCTCTCAAGTCTTAGATTTCTTCCCACGTGATCTCTCGAAGTGAGCGTCGAGCATATGGACGATCTATCAGACCACATCATGCCTTCTACCCGCTACCCGATCATGCACGTTGCACAAAGGTAAGCTTTAAACTACCTTGACCGGGTGATCACGATATTTTGTCTTTGACACTGCTGTGCCGAGTCGAAATCACTCGGTGGGTATCAGAAAGATCAGATATCGTTGAACAGTCTGAAGTGTATAATACACCCATCAAGCTGTGTATGTAATATAAAATATTTGCTCAGACATCTTATATAAACCACAACATAGGATCAAGCCATGATTAACTCAGTTAGGTCCTTTTTGTTTTATTTTTTTTTTGTCAATTTCTAAGTTTTTCAATGTGCATTCTTGTAGTAACAAAATAAGTTAAAATAAAAAGGAGAGTTTTTAAAATATTTCAGAATTTATAGTTCAATTTTTTAATTTCTCCACTAAACAAATTCTACCAATAGAGTATTTTCCAACACTTCTCCTAGACTTCGTGAAAATCAAACAAGAAAGTTTTTCGGGGGGGGGGG